AGCACTGATAAATACACACTGTACCTGTTATACACCTGCAGTGAGCACTGATAAATACACACTGTACCTGTCACACCTGCAGTGAGCACTGATAAATACACACTGTACCTGTTATACACCTGCAGTGAGCACTGATAAATACACACTGTACCTGTCACACCTCCTGTGAGCACTGATAAATACACACTGTACCTGTTATACACCTCCTGTGAGCACTGGTAAATACACACTGTACCTGTTATACACCTGCAGTGAGCACTGATAAATACACACTGTACCTGTCACACCTCCTGTGAGCACTGATAAATACACACTGTACCTGTTATACACCTCCTGTGAGCACTGATAAATACACACTGTACCTGTCACACCTCCTGTGAGCACTGGTAAATACACACTGTACCTGTTATACACCTCCTGTGAGCACTGATAAATACACACTGTACCTGTTATACACCTGCAGTGAGCACTGATAAATACACACTGTACCTGTCACACCTGCAGTGAGCACTGATAAATACACACTGTACCTGTTATACACCTCCTGTGAGCACTGATAAATACACACTGTACCTGTTATACACCTGCAGTGAGCACTGATAAATACACACTGTACCTGTCACACCTGCAGTGAGCACTGATAAATACACACTGTACCTGTTATACACCTCCTGTGAGCACTGATAAATACACACTGTACCTGTCACACCTGCAGTGAGCACTGATAAATACACACTGTACCTGTCACACACCTGCAGTGAGCACTGATAAATACACACTGTACCTGTCACACCTCCTGTGAGCACTGATAAATACACACTGTACCTGTTATACACCTCCTGTGAGCACTGATAAATACACACTGTACCTGTTATACACCTGCAGTGAGCACTGATAAATACACACTGTACCTGTCACACCTGCAGTGAGCACTGATAAATACACACTGTACCTGTCACACCTCCTGTGAGCACTGATAAATACACACTGTACCTGTCACACCTGCAGTGAGCACTGATAAATACACACTGTACCTGTCACACCTCCTGTGAGCACTGATAAATACACACTGTACCTGTTATACACCTGCAGTGAGCACTGATAAATACACACTGTACCTGTCACACCTCCTGTGAGCACTGATAAATACACATTGTACCTGTTATACACCTGCAGTGAGCACTGATAAATACACACTGTACCTGTCACACCTGCAGTGAGCACTGATAAATACACACTGTACCTGTCACACCTCCTGTGAGCACTGATAAATACACATTGTACCTGTCACACCTGCAGTGAGCACTGATAAATACACACTGTACCTGTCACACCTGCAGTGAGCACTGATAAATACACACTGTACCTGTTATACACCTCCTGTGAGCACTGATAAATACACACTGTACCTGTCACACCTGCAGTGAGCACTGATAAATACACACTGTACCTGTTATACACCTCCTGTGAGCACTGATAAATACACACTGTACCTGTTATACACCTGCAGTGAGCACTGATAAATACACACTGTACCTGTCACACCTGCAGTGAGCACTGATAAATACACACTGTACCTGTTATACACCTGCAGTGAGCACTGATAAATACACACTGTACCTGTCACACCTCCTGTGAGCACTGATAAATACACACTGTACCTGTTATACACCTGCAGTGAGCACTGATAAATACACACTGTACCTGTCACACCTCCTGTGAGCACTGGTAAATACACACTGTACCTGTTATACACCTCCTGTGAGCACTGATAAATACACACTGTACCTGTTATACACCTCCTGTGAGCACTGATAAATACACATTGTACCTGTCACACCTCCTGTGAGCACTGATAAATACACACTGTACCTGTCACACCTCCTGTGAGCACTGATAAATACACACTGTACCTGTTATACACCTGCAGTGAGCACTGATAAATACACACTGTACCTGTCACACCTCCTGTGAGCACTGGTAAATACACACTGTACCTGTTATACACCTCCTGTGAGCACTGATAAATACACACTGTACCTGTCACACCTGCAGTGAGCACTGATAAATACACACTGTACCTGTCACACCTCCTGTGAGCACTGATAAATACACACTGTACCTGTCACACCTGCAGTGAGCAAGTGAGCACTGATAAATACACACTGTACCTGTTATACACCTGCAGTGAGCACTGATAAATACACACTGTACCTGTCACACCTGCAGTGAGCACTGATAAATACACACTGTACCTGTTATACACCTGCAGTGAGCACTGATAAATACACACTGTACCTGTTATACACCTCCTGTGAGCACTGATAAATACACACTGTACCTGTTATACACCTGCAGTGAGCACTGATAAATACACACTGTACCTGTCACACCTGCAGTGAGCACTGATAAATACACACTGTACCTGTTATACACCTCCTGTGAGCACTGATAAATACACACTGTACCTGTCACACCTCCTGTGAGCACTGATAAATACACACTGTACCTGTTATACACCTCCTGTGAGCACTGGTAAATACACACTGTACCTGTCACACCTGCAGTGAGCACTGATAAATACACACTGTACCTGTCACACCTCCTGTGAGCACTGGTAAATACACACTGTACCTGTTATACACCTGCAGTGAGCACTGATAAATACACACTGTACCTGTTATACACCTGCAGTGAGCACTGATAAATACACACTGTACCTGTCACACCTGCAGTGAGCACTGATAAATACACACTGTACCTGTTATACACCTCCTGTGAGCACTGATAAATACACACTGTACCTGTTATACACCTGCAGTGAGCACTGATAAATACACACTGTACCTGTCACACCTGCAGTGAGCACTGATAAATACACACTGTACCTGTTATACACCTGCAGTGAGCACTGATAAATACACACTGTACCTGTTATACACCTCCTGTGAGCACTGATAAATACACACTGTACCTGTCACACCTCCTGTGAGCACTGGTAAATACACACTGTACCTGTTATACACCTCCTGTGAGCTCTGGTAAATACACACTGTACCTGTCACACCTGCAGTGAGCACTGATAAATACACACTGTACCTGTCACACCTCCTGTGAGCACTGGTAAATACACACTGTACCTGTTATACACCTCCTGTGAGCACTGATAAATACACACTGTACCTGTTATACACCTGCAGTGAGCACTGATAAATACACACTGTACCTGTCACACACCTGCAGTGAGCACTGATAAATACACACTGTACCTGTCACACCTCCTGTGAGCACTGATAAATACACACTGTACCTGTCACACACCTGCAGTGAGCACTGATAAATACACACTGTACCTGTTATACACCTCCTGTGAGCACTGATAAATACACACTGTACCTGTCACACCTGCAGTGAGCACTGATAAATACACACTGTACCTGTCACACCTCCTGTGAGCACTGATAAATACACACTGTACCTGTCACACCTGCAGTGAGCACTGATAAATACACACTGTACCTGTCACACCTCCTGTGAGCACTGATAAATACACACTGTACCTGTTATACACCTGCAGTGAGCACTGATAAATACACACTGTACCTGTTACACCTCCTGTGAGCACTGATAAATACACACTGTACCTGTTACACCTGTGAACACTGATAAATACACACTGTACCTGTCACACCTCCTGTGAGCACTGATAAATACACACTGAAACACTTTACACCTCCAATGAGAACTGATAAACACACACTAATATTAAAGTTGGAAAAGACCTCCAAGACTATCACGTTCAACCCTTGTGGATTGCTGTCCATCCCTTGGCTCTGCCCACACCTGTACCATAGGGACAGGAGGATTTTCTGTCCTTTCTCCACTGGCAGAGAGGAGAACATCAAGGAGGTGCAGCTTCCAAGAGGGGATGAAAGAAGAACCTCCACATCTGCCAGCGAAGGGAACACCAGGCCCTGCTGCTGTGCTGCTCCCAGCTCCACACTCCTGGAGCACTAAAGATGAAAAGCTCTGGATGGGCCAACAAGAGAAAAGAGCCTTGAAAGCCCTTGTGTTTCTTCTGGCAGTCCAGCCACCTGGTTTGTGAACACGGCAGGTTTGTAAGGTTTCATTCTTAAATGATTTGTGGGCGTAACTTCCCTTCTTGGAAGATCATCTTTAGAAAAACAAATTAACTTCATTAAGTTCAAAAGATTCAAAGTGTGCCCCCAATTTGGGCACAGAAAAGGGGTTAGTGATGATTGCCTTGACATGATGAGCTCCGTGTGTGTTGTACATGGGATCAGGAGATGGTTGGGATGGGAGGGACCTTAAAGATCACGTGGTTCCAAAACTTTCAGGGAACATGGAAGGACCTTCAGGATCACCTGGTTCCAAAACCTCCAGGGACACCTCCCACTGTCCCAGGGTGTCCCAATGTCCAGCCTGGCCTTGGGCACTGCCAGGGATCCAGGGGCAGCCACAGCTGTGCCAGGGCCTGCCCACCCTGCCAGGGAACAATTCCCCATTGCCAAGATCCCATCCAGCCCTGCCCTCTGGCACTGGGAGCCATTCCCTGGCTCCTGTCCCTCCATCCTTGTCCCCAGTCCCTCTGCAGCTCTCCTGGAGCCCCTTCAGGCCCTGGCAGTGGCTCCAGGATGTCCCCAGAGCTCAGTTTGTCCCTTGAACCCCCCAGATCTGCACCCCACAGGATTTGTGTGCTGAGAATCAGGAGCCCAGCCCGGAGCCATGGCAGGCAGCAGCACCTTGGGATGACAGGATGCCAACTGGGTTGGGTGGGAAGGGAGCTCAGAGCCCCCCCAGTGCCAGCCCTGCCATGGCAGGGACACCTGGGACTGTGCCAGGGTGTGCCAGTGTGCAGCCTGGCCCTGGGCACTGCCAGGGATGCAGGGGCAGCCACAGCTGCTCTGGGCACCCTCCCAGGGCACAATCCCTCCCCATGCCCGCTCCTTGCCACGGTGGCTCGTCCCCATGGTTGTCACCTTGTGTGAAGGCCTCGTGCACGTCGCCCCCGAGTCCCGGCAGCGCGTCCTGGGCTCCGTGTGTGGGTGTGGAGCCGGCTGAGGCCGAGCGTGGGAGCACGGGCCCGGCGGGCGGGCGGCCATGGGTGGGCGAGGGCTGGGCCGAGCCCGCGGCCTGCGCCTGCGGAGACACAGAGAGAGCCCTTGGCACGTGGGCACGGCTGGCACCGGCCCTGCGGTAACAAACACTCACAGACAGGCACGGGGCAAGGGGCAGGGAGAGCCTGGGCACTAAATACACACCAGGAAACGGGCAGGGAGAGCCTGGGCCCTAAACAGGGAGAACCTGGGCCCCAGACACGCACAGGGCAAGGTGCAGGGACAGCCTGGGCCCTAAATACACAGATGGGCACCGGGAAACGGGCAGGGAGAGCCCGGGCCCCAAAAATACACAGGGACAAGGCAGGGAGAGCCTGGGCCCCAAACACACACAGGGAAATGGGCAGGGAGAGCATGGGCCCCAAAAATACACAGGGAAACGGGCAGGGACAGCCTGGGCCCCAAACAGGGAGAGCCCAGGCCTCAAACACACACAGGGCATGGGGCAGGGACAGCCTGGGCCCCAAAAATACACAGGGAAACGGGCAGGGACAGCCTGGGCCCCAAACACACACAGGGAAACGGGCAGGGACAGCCTGGGCCCCAAACAGGGAGAGCCCAGGCCTCAAACACACACAGGGCATGGGGCAGGGACAGCCTGGGCCCCAAACACACACAGGGAAACGGGCAGGGACAGCCTGGGCCCCAAACAGGGAGAGCCTGGGCCCCAAACACACACAGGGCATGGGGCAGGGACAGCCTGGGCCCCAAACACACACAGGGAAACGGGCAGGGACAGCCTGGGCCCCAAACACACACAGGGCATGGGGCAGGGACAGCCTGGGCCCCAAACAGGGAGAGCCTGGGCCCCAAACACACACAGGGCATGGGGCAGGGACAGCCTGGGCCCCAAACACACACAGGGCATGGGGCAGGGACAGCCTGGGCCCCAAACAGGGAGAGCCTGGGCCCCAAACACACACAGGGCATGGGGCAGGGACAGCCTGGGCACCAAACACACACAGGTGACAGGGACATGGGCAGGGACAGCCTGGGCCCCAGAGCGCTCCCATTGCCAGCAGGGATGGGGTGTGATGCACGGGCGGGGGCTGCTGTGGGAGGTGGTGGCACCACAGACGTAGAGCTTCATTTACTTATTTTTAAATCGTGATGTATTTTCATGTATTTTTATCTATTTTTATCTGTTTTGAGATGTTTTTTTATAAAATCACATGCTTTGTATGTTTTATGCAAGCATTTATATATTTATATAGTACATATGTAGATATTTATATATTTATTCAGATTTATTTATGTATTTATTTATATACTTATATTGTATGCTTATATATGTACATTTTACATATGGATATATTAATATATTATATATACTTAAATAATTTATATATGTAATAGAATAATATATTACATATATATTTATAGAAAAGTAATATGTATATATTAATATATAGTATTTATACACTACAAATGTATTACAAATATATTTGTAGTATAGAAATGCCACATATTTACTATATATAAATATATAGTATTTATATACTACAAATATATTTTTATATTTATATAAAATATATATTTTTAGACAGTATATATTTTATATAATTTTTATATTTCTAAAATATTTATATATTTTATATATTATGCATATCTATATGAAAATTCAGATTTTTAAATATATTTATATATGTATCATATAAAATGTATATAATACATACATATTTATACATTACATATGTAGGCATTTAATGTATTGCATATATAGATATTTTATGTATTTTTACAGTGGTATATTTTAGATCTAGTCATATAATTTGACTTGTTGCTGACAGAGTGAATTTTTAGATCTCATTTTACATTTTCTTCCAGTCTAGCCCACCCCATTCCTGCTGTGCCATCCCAACAGTCTCCAGAGCAGCTCTGCAGCAGAGGTGACAGTGCTGTCCCCAACAGGGCTGGTGGTGTCTCCTCAGTGTTGAGGGACAGCCCAGGGCTCTGCCAGGTGCTGCTCACAGCCTCGAGTCCCAAAAATCCCCAAAATCCCAAACAAACCCGGGCTCCTGGAGGGCTCGGGGAACTCTGCCATGCTCACTTGGCCAGGCTCCCCTGGCCACCGAGGGGCCTGTGGGGCCAGCCTGGGCTGGCACAGGGTGACAGGCAGGGCAAGGAAAGGGGGTCAGGGCAGGACTGACATCGCCCCTGTGACCCCAAAAAATGGAGCTGCGATTTGTACCGGTGAGTGCTGCCCACAGAGCCTGGCTGGGCTCTGTAAGAGAATCCCAGAATCCCCGAGTGGTTTGGGTGGGAAGGGGGCTTAAATCCCACCAGTGCCACCCCTGCCATGGCAGGGACACTGCCACCGTGCCAGGACGCCCCAGCCCCAATGTCCAGCCTGGCCTTGGGCACTGCCGGGGATCCAGGGCTGCACCAGGGATCCACAGCTGTGCCAGGGCCTCTCGGGGCACAATTCCATCCCAAAATCCCATCCAGCCCTGTCCCCTGTCCCAGCCCTCCAGGTGTGCCCACTCCTTTCACCAAGGCACACCGTGACCCCCAGACTGGCAGTGCCCACTCCTGTCACACCCCAACAAGAGGAAATGTATTTGTCACCAAGACACTCCCCCTACCCCGACATTCTTCGAGAAAGTGCCCGAAGCCCTGAAGGTTTCATGTCAATGGTTTGTCACCCTTGGCAGCAGCTGCCTGCCCTGATTTGCATTCCACGGCCAGCGGAGCAGCGGCGCTGGGAACGTCCCCCAGCCGCGGGTGACACGGGTGACACGGGTGACACGGTTCCTGGAAAACACCGGAGCTGTCACAGCAGCCCGTGAGGCCACGGCACATCCTGAGGGGGATGGGGACACGGGGACAGGGACAGGGCACGCTGCTCCCCCTCCCTGTGAGGCGTGACCGAGCCTCGCGGGGCTCAAAGCGGGATCTGAAAGTTGTGGGGTCAGTGGAGCCTTGAGCTTTGCCTTCCTAGAAACACGTGCTGGCACAGCTGGGGCTCCCCAGCTGGAACAGCCCTCGCTGCTGACCCCAGAGCGGTGACAAAACAGCTCCTGGCTGGTGGAGGGTGACAAACCCGCCCTTGGCACAGCACAGCAGCACTCAACTCCTGGGGCATCTTCCCAGGGACAGGCTGGGATTGTGGAGACATGGAGCCACTGAGGCTGGAAATCCTTCTCAGACCATGGAGTCCAACCGTCCCCAGCACTGCCCAGGCCACCACTGACCCCTGTCCCCAAGTGCCACAGCCACAGGGGTCTGAAATCCCTCCAGGGATGGGGAGTCTGCCCTGCCTGGGCAGCTGTGCCAGGGATGGACCTGGAATTGTCCCAGGGATGGACAATTCCAGGTGGGAATTGTTCCCAACATCCACCTGAGCCTGTCCTGGCACAGCCTGAGGCCATTTCCCCTTGTCCTGTCCCTGGGAAAGGAAAGGAAAGGAAAGGAAAGGAAAGGAAAGGAAAGGAAAGGAAAGGAAAGGAAAGGAAAGGAGCTGCTCTGCTGAGAGAGCAGGGGCACCTGGGGCAGGAGGGCTGTGCCAGCCTGGTGTGGGAGGACACGCAGCTGTGCCCCTGCAGGGCTGGGCACAGCCCAGAGCCACCACGGGACCTCTCTGGGTTCAGTGTCCCCATTCCCTGGCACAGCTGTGCTGGGCTCTGCTCCTCCATGGGTGGGAAACTCCAGGATGCCTTTGGGAAACAGAGCCGAGGTGGAGCTGAACAAGTTTAGGGTGGGGAACTCCAGGATGCCTTTTGGGAACAGAGCCGAGGTGGAGCTGAACAGGTTTGTGAACTCCTCTGGCTCTGCTTTGCAGCTGCAGCCCCAGAAAACCCCAGGAATTCCTGGCTGATTGCGCGTCCTTCCTGGAAACTGCACCGGGAGGACACACAAGATGGATTTCCATTTAGAAAAACCACGGAGGGAACCTCTGACCTGGCTCCTGAAATGTTTGGGAGTCAACTTCGATTTATTGTCCCTGGCTTATGGAGCCTTGTATACAAGAGCTGTGAGGTTTAACCTAAAACGCCATTTCCAGGGAAAAGGGGCTGGGCTGTGCCCTGAGCAGGGATCAGCTCCAGGGGAAAAGGGGCTGGGATGGAGGGAAGCAGCACCCACAGGAGCCTTCCCCAGCTCTCCAAGAGGACTTCACCATCACCTCCCTCAACCCAGCAGTTCAGCTGGAGGTCCCCCATCCTCTGGGGAGCTGCTGCCAAATTTTCCACAACCACTGTGACAGAGGAAAGCTTCAAAGGAGAATGGGGTGGAAAAAGCCTCCAAAAATTTGGGTTGGTGTTGGGAAGGATGAAAGTTTGACCAGAAAGTCTCACAGACGTGTGCTTGGCAGGAAGATTTTTGAATGTAAAACATGATGAAGGAATAGAGATGGAAGCAAGTTTTGATACAGAAGAAAAGAATTGCTCAGTCAGTCTCACTGGATAACCAAGGAGGCAAAGGGTGTGTGAGTTAGAAGGGGTTTTTATGGCTTAGAGCAAAGGATAAACCCACCCCAAACAAGAAGAAAGAGAGAAAGAGAGAAAGAGAAAGAGAGAGAGAAAGAGAGAAAGAGAGAGAGAAAGAAAGAGAGAAAGAGAGAAAGAGAGAAAGAGAGAAAGAAAGAAAGAAAGAAAGAAAGAAAGAAAGAAAGAAAGAAAGAAAGAAAAGAAAGAACAGGCAAACAAGTCAGCAGATGTGGCAAGTAGAAAAAAGGTCTCAGAATTTTCCACTGCAAGAAAACTGAAAAACAACTTCTAGCTTAAACTGTAATGTACTGACTTTTAGTGACTGGAGAACAGTGACATGAATATGGTAATTATAGGAGTTTTGATAGGCTGCAGGTAAAAGTTAAGGTATAGATTGGTTCTGCTGTATGAAGATGCTCAGCAAAGAAAAGTATAGAATGCATTGTAACCAAAAGAAAAGTATATAAAGAAATGTAACCTAAAGAAAAGTATATAAAGAAACGTAATCAAAAGAAAAGTATAGAATGCATTGTAATCAAAACCAAAGGGTCTCCAGGCCTGCCTGCAGCTGTCACCACAACCCTGGACTGCTGTA